AAATGCAAGTAGAAAAATAGGGACCACCTTTGGTGGGAAGGTAACAGCGTTCCATGCACTTTCGGCATTTAATCATGCCAGCCACATGACCACGGAGATGTTTTTGGACAGCGCTGGCTCTTCGGCTTTGAAACGGAGGTGAGCACTGCCCCCTAGAATTGGGAACGACTAGCACATATGTGCGAGGGGAACCATTATCTTTACATTTTCAAGTATGTTTTTTTTATTTTTTTCTCTGTGTGTTTATTTTTAAATGAAATATACCTGGTGTAATTTATATCAGGCTATTGAAAATAAATGTGTATCTTTTTGTGTCCTATCTCATTTCAGCTATAAGCGGTATATTCCAGAAACACTGAACAAGAAAATTAGACAAAGGAACATCTTAACAAGAATACGAATTAATAATGTTTTCAGGGACTTTCTCAAGGAATTTAACAACAAGACCATTTCTGACAGCAGTGTTTCTCCACATGATCTGAAAGTGAAATACTTAGCAACAATGGAGACATTGACAAAGAATTATGGAGCTGAAATATTTGAGACATCCACACTGCTAATTTCATCAGAAAATGAGAACTTTAACTTGAATGCTTCTGAAAAAATGCAAAGTTATGAAGTGATGGTAACAGGCAATCTTGGAATCCAGTGGCGGCGTAAACCAATTGTGAGTATCACAAGTTCTTTGTTTACTAATAAGGTTAACTTAGAGTCATTTGAATAGAATAGTATTTGGGTTTTTTTTAAAAAAATTATGAAAGTGAAATGAAAATATTATGAAAATATGAAAATTGAGGAAATCTCAGACCTCTAGATAGATTGCACAATGTAAAAAAAAAATAGCCTGAAAAAAAACCCAACAAGAAATTACCGTATTTTTCGGAGTATAAGATGCACCTTCCCCCCCCCCAAAAAAAGAGGGTGAAAATCTAGGTGCGTCTTATATTCTGAATGTATCTCCACCCAACACTCCGTGTGTCACATTTTTGAGTGATTCCATACAGCGGGGATCCTCACTTTCACATGGAGCCTGATTCCTGAAGCAGCCCGGAGAATTACGTTCAAAGCCTTTTCAACAAAAGCATTTTTGGGCTGTAGCGCCACAATCCCCTCCCTGATTCCAAAAAGGGCGCTTGCAGAGGCCAAAAAAATGCATTGTGTTTCAGGTGGCAGGTGGTTCCAGCAGGCGCTGCCACCTGA